TTACTTTACGGGGTTGAAGACAAAGCAAACTTCAAGTTCCTCGTATTAGCAATAATATTGCATAATATTTGAATGCACTTTTTATCTTTGTAGGTATGTGCTTTATACATTTTATAGGAATTTGAAAACAAATTCCAAATGTAGTCGAATCCGCATATATTGATTTGCCATTAAAGAAGTTACTCTTTGATATAACAAGTTACTCACGGGTATGAGTCATTATAAAGAATATGCCAATTGCGGATAAAAAAAAACCTTTTTTTATTTTCTTTTGGTTAATATTGAATTAATTGCGTCAATAGCACGTGTTGAAAAAAGTGGTAGAAATGTAAAACGAAAAGTTGTTTTTTTTTATTGATGAAATTGATTATCATTATTTCCATTCTTGAAAACCATGGTGGTGACTCTTATTTTAGAAAAGCGTCTTATAGCTATACAAAATTAGATTACTCATTACGTAACGAAATGGTTATTTACTTAATTTTCAAAAGATCTTCAAAATGGATTTGATTTTAATGTTGATATTTAAATTGTGTGAAAAAATTAAACCTCTTTTCTTTAAAACTCCTAGGTTCTCACTTCAGAAAGTGACATTCTTATGGGTTTGTTAATTAGAAATCAGAAAGACATTTTAAATTCCGTGAGTATAAAACATCGTATACTAAAGTCATTATCACAGCTGGTTATTGAAATTAACTGTTTTTTTCTTTAAACTTTTGGAGATGAATTGAGGAACAATTCTCAAATTTAGCAAAGTAACAATTTTCAGTAGTTTATTCCTTGGGGACTGATAGGTTTAATCAAACTTTTCTAAAAGCGAAGTATGGTAAATGTTTTCTTATCAGAAAATGCTACTGCATATCGACATTTTACATTAGTTAAACAACTTCTCGGCTCTGCCACTTTTGTTCCACTCCCAATAATATGCAATAAACTCATTCTTCATAACAAGATAAGTTTTAATTGTTGAATGATTGATTCGTCAGTTTTATAAATCATTGGCTCGTTCTCTTTTCCACAGAAAAAACTAAAGAGATTTGGTTATTTTTTATTACACTTTTCTATTTAAACAAATCACTTAATCGAAAGTGGCCCATTTAATCTCATTTCTATAAAAATAAATAAACGGTTTTCTTTTATTTTACACCTATATTCAAATAAATATTAGAAACACAGTTATAATTGTAAATATACATTTTTAAAATGAACATAATTTATGACACATCATGCGTCACTTTAATCATTGGTTGAACAATCTAATAAACGACATTCATGCATATTATGACGTACATATTTACATATGTCTATATGTACTTAATAACATATAGATTTACCATTTACGGAAATTTTTATTTCTATTTGAGATATTATGAAGCGTTTCAGTATGAATACATATTATTATGTACAGATCTATAGGTATAGAAGTATGTAAATATATCCGAATTTTTTACAATCAATTCAAACAAAACTCGACGATTTCACAACAGAATTAAACTCTGAAGATAGATTTTTATTTTTGTTTTTTTTTTTTATATCATAACTAGTAATTCAACATCCATTAATTATACTCAATTTCATAACAATAAAAGAATTGTTGAGTTGATGTTCACGATAGCACCTTTCAATTCTTGTTAAAGCCGAAAACAATAAATTGAGAATTATTGTTGAAATGGGTTACTTTATCCAAATCGAATGTAAGATAATTAGGTGAGTCCGATAATTTTTTTTTTGGAAGAAATTTTAAAATTAGAATAAATTTTGGAAATTTCAATTAAAAATAGGAAATATATTTTAATTTTTTACTAATACTCTCATTCAAAATTCTATTAGAAAAAGAGAATAGCTCTTAATTAATTGTCGTGAAAGACATGAACGCCTATCAAATACATTTAATATGTTTTGCTGAAAAAACTATGAGAAACTTAGAAAAATATTGCATAGAGGAGTTTGGACTTTTATACGAGTTTTTGGTGAATTATCAAAGAAGGGTAATAATTGAAAAAACATCCCTAACATAAAACTATGATTACCTATACACATAATATACAGGGTGTCTCGTATTAAAGTGCCCTTCAATATATCAATGTGTAAGCCCTCATGAGCACACAAAACTATTGTATGGAGATTATGTTCACAACTCAATAGGTTCGGAGTTAAATATGCTTAAAGTCAATCTCGACTAATTTCTTTACTTTTTAAACTATAAAGCACAATTCTGTGCGTGCGTCAGACACGCGTGTTATTAAATATGATTTGGATAAATAAAAGGCTTTCTCAAAATAAGGGCTTTCTCATTAATATCTATGTTAGCTATAGTCGGCTCAGATTTCGGAGTTACATAACTTTAAAGTTTGAAAAATTTGAAATCTTAACTTTTCATTTTTAAAAACTTTAGTTTTCTAGGTGACGGAACATTGAGGCTTACTCCAATTTTAGAACAGCTGGCAATGTTGTTGACTAAGCTTCAATATGGTATATGAGTCACCATGCTACCGGATCTGGTTTAAGAATTATTGAGTGTACTGCAAATTTTATTTTTTAAATGACTTAGAAAAATGTACAAGAATCGTTCAAAATGGTGTCTCTGTGTGCTATTATGAAAATGTTCAGCTTGTTTTTACAGAGCTTCGCTTACATTTGCAAAAGTAAATGATCCAGAAAATATCATACGGTGCATTTCATTGATATGTGATCATGAAAGTAAAACAGCCATCATATTAAAGAAAAAATCTAAAAAAAATGTGTCCAATTGAATGAATAACCATGCAAAGCCTTAGAACTTTGAACTACGCGGTATTTAAGATGTACTAATTTATAATTAAAATACTAATTTTATTTCCATTACATTGTAATTTTCACATTGATAATTTATGATAATTTTTTTTTATATACAATAATAATTTTACTGTAATACAATCTATTACATATAACAGTCTATGAGTATGTGTAATATAGAGTAATAATTCATTCGAACACACAATTGTACAAGCACACAAAAAATATAATATTTTTTTACATTATCTTTCCATTGTTATCTAATTATTAAAGACAACACTATTGAAAGGTGAAAAGCGTAGTAAGTATATGTAGGTGTTTATAGAATAACTCTAAATTCAACATGCACGAAATATAGTAGTGCATAGTTATATCTATACATGTGTATATTAAATATTTGTGAAAATATTCAGTATCTAGAAATATGTACTTATAGGATTTCATGAGAATATGATACCTACATGACAATGCATTACTTCAGATTAAACTTTTAAATACCTGAATACTAAAAGCTCTCGCCTAAACTATAGTTCCACAAAAATATTACTTCAATTAAAATTTTTTGAACCGTTTTATTTTAATCCGTAATTGTTATTCTTAAATTGACCTCATAAAATATATTATGCAGACATGAATTAAGTTATCAGCTGATTTGAACACCATCAACCTGTAAACTGCGCGTAGAATTCGTAAACTCTACAATCTCAACATTTTTTATATTAACATACAATGATTTTAATATATGAGTTTAAAGGTAAACACGTAATTTTTACGATAATAATTTTATCAATTTTTTATCAAATTTAGATAATCATAGTTCAAACTTACATTTAGCAAGTTCTCATTATGATTGAATTTATTATACGCTCAATTTATGTTTATTTTATAATAATTACAATGAAACTGTTAAAAACAATGTGAGAGCACATATCTGTAAAATCAAACACAAATTAAATTAAACTGACAACTAAATGAAGATGCTAATTCTTATAAAAATAGACTTCACACTCAGAATTTCGTTTTTCAAAGATTTACATATTTTATCTCAGATAGAAAGCTAAAATTTTAAACGCAAATAAATCTTAGGTAAGAACTAATTTCGGTAGCTCCTTATAAAGTTTTAAAAATGTCATTTTTTGATTATTTGTTGTAACAAAACCACAAACAGTTTCTTAGTTTTAGAAAAGCAATGACATGCTAGTACTATTAACAATTAGAAAAATTAGTTCTCATCAAATTTTTGATATAATTTTTCTTCTAGACGGCTATTAGTAGAAGTCTGAAACTTCAGCACAATTTGGATACTAAGAAATAATTTATTTCGTTAGAAGAAAAGTTTTTTCCACTTCGACCATCATCCGAGTAATGGCCTCCCGAAATTCGTAAAATTTGAATTTTCGGCGCTTTATGTTTTCGTTAACGTTAAAAGCGTTGCCATCAAAAAGTATAATTATTTATCTTAACTGACTGACTTAACACCGTTCAATTCAATTATTAAAATAAACGCTTTTTTCTAATTATTTTGTTTTGCTCATCCTGAATATATGCAATAAATTGATGTACATATTTTGGTGCATGAAAAAAAGTAATTTAAATAATGCAAACATGTGAAAATACTCCCTTTAATAACAGTAATGTTATTTTCACATGTTCAAGAGAGAAGTGCTTTTTTCCAAACCATTGGTTTGAAAATTCAACGTTATACAAAAAAAATTACATTAATTCGTCATATTTATCGCTGTACCTTGCTTTAAGTACCTGTATAAATTAGGCATATAATTTTGCGATACTGCTAACAAATCAGTATAGTTTTTTAATGATATTTTCCTACATTATTCAATCATGCATAAATTACATAAACTTATTCTTACATCAAGCACCTTTGAATGCATACATACATTTAAGAACTTTAACATAAGAATATAAATTTTAAAATAATTATGAAAGTCAAAAAACTATACAATATTATTGAAAATATTAAAATCAAATTTGCCTCCCTTCAGTTTTAAGAAGTAAACAGTTTTTCAATTAGCAATTTATAAAAAGCTTGTAAACATTTTTAAAAATATTATTCCATTTTTCAATCACATGATAAATGGTCACCACAAAAATAGAGAATATTCTTATAACAGAATTTATAAACAGAACAAAAATTATTTGCAAACGTCAGAATACATAAATAAAATTAAAATAAAAACAAAAATAGTATAAAATGAAAAGCTTACCCTTCAAAATTTTCTGATTTCCTGTTAAAAAGAAAGTTCGATTTTGTTTGATTCAACAAAATTTTTGCTATTTCTGTGTGTGTTTTCGTGTTTGAAAAAGTTGTGCCGTACCGGCTATAAAACTTTACTTTTATTTTTTTTTATTCTTTTCAAACTATTTATTTACCTATACATATATTTTTATTATTAGAAACTTAAACATTCAATATCTTTTTCATTTGTAAAATAAATATTTTCGAAAGGTTTAAAATTCTAGATATGATAAATGAATTCTGATAATAAAAATTATATGTGATCAAAAATTAAAATACTGATAATAAAATTTTAGCATTTAAGGAAAATATTAAATCTTTTTAATTTCAAAACACTCAAATAAAATTTTAATGATTTATGAAAAAGAAAAAATCGATTTTCTTCACTTGGTATAAATTATTTTTTTTTTCAAATACACCAGAAACAAATTTAGAATATTAAAATTTTGCTATTTTTACAAAAATTTCAAATGATATTCTCACAATATTGGTTTTCACAATTTATAAATATTCGGTTTACTTAATTTCTTTATAATTAAAATTCACTAAAAATACCGACAATCTATTGAAAACAAAAATTTCTAGACTATCGCGTTTTATATTCAAAATAAAACTAAAGTGGCAATTGATTTTTTTTTCTGAATTCTGAGAAAATAAAATTGAAAGTAAAAACAAAAAAAAAATTTAATTATTTAATTTTAGTTGTTTTTTTTTTCTAAAATTGTGTTGTATACAAGTTGTATATTGCATTGTATTATAGTATGTGGGTATGTTGTTTTTACTAAGTGAGGTGAAACTATTTTAGTATTAAAGACAGCAGCGCAAACTCAAAAGCTTTATATTTTTGTTTATTTTTTCTTTTAGGGTTATAGTAATGATCAAATGAACAGACAGCTTGTTCTCATAAAAAATGTTGATATTAAATTATACTCGTAAATACCTACGATACTACCTTAATAGTTGTAATGCTTGATACTCGTGTATAGTATGGAGGAAAACCTACACTATATACTCATATTATTTATGTATGAGATAAGAGTTTATGAATCATACACAGATGAAAAAAGACTGTAGATGTTTTAACGTTATAATAAATGGGGGAAAAAAAAATTTGTATCAAATTTAAAGAAATTTTTTGTTTTGTATGATAAAAAACTTGTTTAGCAAGATTTTTTGATGATTCGTTTATATTTTGCTTCTGGGTGATTCTCATTTAGTTTACAACTAGTTTTATCAAGTACAAGTTATCATGTACAAATAAAATTTAATGTAATATTTTGTACAATTAAAAGTTTTTTAACCTGTTTTTACTTTTGTATAGCAAAATTTTGAAAATTACTGTGTACAATTTCCAAGAACCTCTAAATATACATTTGTAAGTATGTAGTTTTTACGGGAGAATTATAAAATTGCATTTGGTTTAGTGATGATTACATTTTACATTTTCCAAGCAGCAAGGCACTATTTCTTTCCCGTTCGGGACCGAGGCTCTTAGTCCGTCTAGATATAGTTCTAATTTAATGACAACATGGGGTATAGCAACCACTTCAAGCCGGAAGATTTCTTGACAGTTCGGATAGCTCCTTCCGAAGCCTTGCATTTACACACTAAGTGATTCACCGTTTCGTCCTCCAAGAACAGCTTTATTGTCCGACATGATAAAGACCCTGCTCCTCCTGAGGTTCCTTTGATACACTTCAGAGCCAACAATTCAATTGCAAATATTTACTTACCCTCGTGGTGTTTACACTCTCGCGTAAAACATTTTCACACCAACTTCTTTATTAGTTTTGCTCATCACAGCTCTAAGACCAAGTTTCAGGTCTCTGCAACGAGTTTTCTTCATTACTGGAACCGAGGTGGTAATATTGAAAAAATTGTTATAACCAAAGACCAAAAATAGTGTATTTTGAATATTGAATATACAATACATATATATATATATATGTATACAAAAGCATTCGTATTTACATTTACCTCGGACTTGCACAAATTTAAGCCGTATGTTGCTTATAGCTCTTTTAAAATGATAATTTTTGCAAAGCGAAAACAAAAGAATTTTGTCAGAATCTTGTGCATTCTTCACATATTTTTGTATAAACTGGAAACATTTTCATGTTTATTTCTGATTATAACCAGGTGTTTTCTAATTGTATGTATGTATGCATAAATATACAAGCGTTTATGTTAACATTTTGTACACACAATAAATTTTGAAAATTATATTTGATGTATAACACAAATTTTAATGGATAGCACCTTATAATATGACAAATATAATAATTATAATATCAATAGTAATAAATATAACAATAAAGCAAAACATCGACCGTCAATAAAATTAGAAACTCGTGAAGAAAACAAAAAAAAGCTTAGCACATGTTAACATTTTGTCTACAGTTTTTCATTTAAACAAAATGTAAATATAAAATTTTAATGTATGTATACAGAAAAAATCATGGGGAACAGATGCTGGTTTCGATTGAATTTCTTTAGAAATTTTTAATATTTTCAAAAGAAATTCAATGAAAATGGCTTTGATTTCAAAAATTTACATATTTACACAATTGAACGTAAATTTATTAAGTTTTTATGACGTAATAAATAACGTGATTAACTACGAAGTTTTTAATAATTTATGCATAGAATATGATTATATGTGAATGGGTAAGTTTTCATACTTAATTAAAAGAAAAGGATGAGAAGCGTGTATTAGAAATAAAACAATCAATAAGGATATAAAATTATTTTTTTAGTTCCGATTAATTTAATCTGCACAATTCATAAAATTTGTAGAATAACATGTCGTCTTCATTGAGGAAAATTGGATAAAAAAAAGCTAGGTCTTGTTCTAATATTTTAATTCAAAGGACTTAACCGTCTTGTAGCTCAATAGTCCGACTAATTCTTAGTTTCAACATAGTTAACAATCTTTTGATACTATTAAAAATTTTAAGCAATTTTTCATATTTGATCGTCAAAGCATATACAACGAACAATGGGATGTAAAGTGGCGAATTTCTATATAAAAAAATGTAAATATAAAGCACGTCTGCCGGTTAAATTACTCTCGAGTTATTTGTTTTATAAAAAGTTTCGATTAATTAAAATTAAAATTTCAAATTGGTCGATTGAGCTTCCTCCCACCCTTAATTCTACTTACGTACTCAAACCTAACGTAGTGCGGATTATAATGAATTCTTGCTAATATATAGTTAATGATAACATTGCCCGTAGTACATTACTTCTATATGATAGCTGTCCTATAGATGCCTCCACATATTTTGTGTTAATTTTTGAGAGTATAGAAAGAAATTTAATTATTATAATATTCATTGATGCTTGCCATAATGAAATTGGCAAAGTTGCCAAAAATTTAATTAAATTTTGTTCTTTGAAAGCGTTTCTATTTTTTTTTTTTTTCAAATATTAATGTTGTACATGCATTAAGGAAATTATACATTTTATAGTTTTCGGCGTTTGTATATTTTAATTTTGTAGCTTATTTTATTGCAAAGTATAAAATTTTTATATTGGCACTTTTTCATAACTGAAATATTATCAAAACGTGCTACAAAATGCTATTGTTAGCTATTAATTTATTACTATCCGAACATTGTGTAGTACTTATGATTGTAAGATTCTGTTATTTTACATCGCACAGTTGCTATTCCGTGAATACTATTCCGTTCAGGTTTAGGCTCATTTTGCAAATAAATATATTTCTGAACAGCTCTTTTTAAGAAGCACTTAATAACACTTTAAAATCTCAGGTTTGCAGTTAACTAAAGCGACTATATTTTTGATGAATTCTGAACATGTTAATTATTTTTGAATGATTTGTAATTTAACAAGAATAATTTAAAAATTAAAAAAGTTGTGAAAATCATCATTGATTTATAAAAATATTTTATTTCTTGTTTTTATAATTAGAAATTATAACAATGTGTAAGGTGTTAAATTTTTATGTTTCAACGCTTATTCAATGACTATATTGATTCGCTAGACTTACTCTTTTAAAAAAAATATTCTTACAAAAATTTTCTAGAATTCCGGAATTTTAGTAAATCATAAAATAACTCAGGTCACGATATATTACGTAATTAATCACAATTTTAAAATGGGAAAATTAAATTTTTATTTTTTGTTTAAAGTACTCAAATAATAGAAGACCATTAATACATTTTTGTTTAAATGATTTTCCAATATGAAATTTCGAATTCTTACAAGTTCTTATTGAACAATTTGTAAGAAGTCGTAGTAATATTTTTTTTTGCCGAAAAATTAATTAGTCATTAAATAACCAATTCGACATTTTACTAATTTATAAAGAAATTTTAATTGAAGAATAAAAAAATTATTGCTTACATGTATAAAAAGAGGAAAAAAGGAAAAAGAAGAAACGCGGATTCAATCTAATTAAACAGTTTTTGCTTTTTTACTATTAATATATACCGGAAATTGAATTGCGCTGAGGTGATTTTATCTACACTGGGAGTATCGATTATAAGTAACCTTTCCATATTTGGATTCTATACTCAAGCTCGAAACTAAATTAATTGATTTTAATTCTTGCAGCAATCAAATTTGATATTGTTTTGGTATAGAGCTGTTATAAGAATCAAATTTGATTTTGTAATTGCAATGATATTTTTTTCTTTATAGCCTTCCATAATGTTTTTATTACTAAGAATTCAATGTTATACTTCCACATATCGTTAATCTATGCGACTAAATTATTTTATTAAATCTAAAATTTGGCAGTGACCCTGACTTTTAGTTCAGTATTAAAATTTAAGAAAAGCAATATATTAAACTGCCGGCTATAACTTCAGCAATTCCAAAATCCTAAAGAATTTCTGAGGACTATATTTGGAAATTTATTTGGTAAAATAAATAAAGTTGGGTCTTATTATTAAAATTATGTTAAAGTCACTTTCATTCATATACGAATATATTTAAAAAAAAATTGCATACTTTTAGGATAAGAAATATTGAATACATTACAATAAACCAAAAAAAATTGAAATAGGAGTTCAAAAAATGCTGGAATTTAAGGGTTAATTGTATGAGTTAAGAAAAATAATTATATTTTTTAATGACATGGCGTTTACCTTTAGCCTTCTACATTTATAGAAATTCGGAAAAGTTTATAGTTCGAAAATATAAGGTGATAAAAATTAGAGTTTTACAAATTTCAAAAGGCGATAACTAGAGAGGGGATGGAGGTTAAAAAAAATATCTTTCT